AATGTGACGGATTGGGGCTGGTGGCAGTTTCCCAGTCGCACAGCCTCTCTCTCTTTCTCTCTTCATGCCTGAATCATTTCTGCAGTTTGTGTGATCTGCAAAGCACAGTGTGAAAGTAGTGTTTAAAAGAAGATCACAAGCAACTCACTTCTCCTGTTTCAACTGTAATCTACTTAACAAATACATCTCATCAGTATCATGTTTTATGGCCAAGACAACAGTCACCACCGGTTCCTTTTTTCCATTCAGTCACTTTATGAACAATGTGGCTTTTGTACCGCGCCTACTGTGCTATTATCTTTTTATGAAAATAAGCACAGGGTATTGGACTGTCGTCATCTTTTATATGCCTGTATCGCTCTTTCTCGCATGCTCTCTCTATATAGCTCTTTTTCTTTCTTCCCCAACCTGGCAAACCTGCCAAGTGAGAGCCACCGTGGATCAGTCAATGGCAGATTTAGATTTGAGTTCTAAGTCTCAGTCCTAGCCAAACCTGTTTCTTCAGGAAGGCTTTGAGTTTTACGTATGGTCTGCCAACCTTTTCCCCTCAGTTATCACCTACAATAGCCCCCCCCCCTAAAACAAAAACCTTCTTGCTACTATACCGACTTTACACCCTCCTTTCTAGATCCTTTCTCTACATACACTTCTCCTCAGATGTGCCCACCCCTAAACCCCCATCTATCAACTAGTTGGCAATGGCATTGTTTTTAATCATCAGAACCTCAAAATTATTATTATCGCTTCTGATGCGGCAATTAAAACTTCAGGTCAGAGGCACAACGAGCGGTGATCAGCAGCCGAGCTGAGAAGTTTTAATTAGACGATCAGAACCATTAATGCACAAAAAAAAGGTGTGCGCTGGGAAATTAACGGGAACGTCTTAATCAGGGTTAGCGACTCCGAAGAGGAGTCAAGTGAACAGAGAGCAAAAAACAAATCATTTCCGCACCACTGGGACAAAACTCAATTAAATATGCATGCGGAAAAATGGAAATTTTCTCAGCATCGGTTGCACCGACTGTTGGAAAACTGTGGCAAAATCTCACGGCGGGGTCGTCGACCTGCTTATTGTTATTCTTGTGTAATAAAAATGAGAGAGGGGCCAGATGCTGGGGTCTGGGTGTCGTGGCGTAGTTGTCCATCAGTGGCTTTCCGCTTGACTTCCTTGAGGCTGCCGCAGCCTCTCTACCGTGCAGGGCGAGAGAGAGAAGAGGAAAACATTCTCTTCCTGCAAGCCGTAAATTTACAAAAATAAAAACATGGTAATTTCCAAGTGTGTCTGTGTATGTCTGCCTGTGTGGCTCAGTGATTTCCCTGAAACACTCGTGCACACACGATCTCTCACACATACATCTCCCTTGAGAGCCAGAGACACGAAAGGTTCACGGAGCTACACACAGGGAGCTCAGCCTTGTCGATTAATCTGCCAAAGGTTCATAAAGTTATAACTGGGCTTCCTTTAAAACAGCTACAGCAACTCTCCGTTGCATATTGTAAAATAATCCTGAGCTGAACACACATCTCCTAGACCCTGTTTGTATTAATTAACTCCTGATATTGCGGGGGGTTTGTCCCTCTGTCAGTCATGTTGAAACTCAGCAGGAATCTACAACAAGCCCTGTACCTGTGTTTGATTAGGTGAGGAGATAAGCTTCAGTTTAAACAGGTAATATCTACGTCTCTTATATACAGACCCTCCTGTGTGCTCGCTCCACACTGCAGGGAGTCGATGGTGCAGCGCTGCACTTTGAATGAACAATAAGTCAAGTAATTCAATTTTCTATATGTTGTTTATGTGACTTTACATCTTCCACAAGATGATTAAACAAGCATGTTGGACATAAGCTGCCTCGTCTTTGAATGATAAAAAGAGGTAAAGCCATGACCCTGCCAGTCTTTACTTCCACATTCTTTACTCGTAGCTGCCTTGATTACAGTCTGCGCACGTTCACACAAATAATGCACTTCCAACAGCGTTATTAGGATTTGAAACACCACTTGATTGGGCATGATATCATTCTGGCACACAAACAGAGACTCTGCATCAAAAACCAACAAGACCTGTGGGGCTTAGAGCTGTGGAAGAGTACGTTTGTCTGTGCGGAGGGCTAGACTGGAACACAAGCTGTGTCATCCAGCGCTGAGAAGAAACAGGGCTCCAAAGAACTTTGATGCACATATTTTTGACTGAAGATGAAAAAGAACCCGACCCAGTCCAAATGTATTCAAAATAGTTTCTTGTCTTTTTCCTCAGGTTTTGGCCTTATACAGACAGTAAATGGCGCTCCTTTGTGGCCCTGCTCTGTTTCCAGTAAAAATAATGTCATAGTTAACATAAGCAGTTGGAAAAATTAGTTTCAGCCGTTTAGATTCAAATCTGCCTGTTTTTTTCCAACGCTCAGTGCTTACTGAGGTGTCTCCTCCTTGACAATTAGCACACCAGGCTAAAACAGACTGTAAATAATGTCCAATGCATGTGACAGTGTTGTTTTTCTGTCTGATAGTCATTAATAAGGCAGAATGCTTACTGGACTCTCAGGGAGGTGGGGGAGTTGGTCCCAGAGGGAAAAGTTGTTCTTTCATGTAGGTCCCCACAGATTTGATCTCATTGTACGCTATCATGCACACAAACGACTTGAGGTAAACAGCTTGGTGTTACCATAGCAATCTCTATTGTAGGCAATGGTAAAAAGCTGTCATGGACAGAAACCCTCAGCATAAATAATAGTTTAGACAGCATCCATAAACCACCGAACCATAGCATGTTTCTCCTTACAGGAAGCTAACCATATTAAATTTGGTTCAAAGCAAACCTTTAAAAAAAGAAAACCACTGAATGTGTGCGTACCCTGTCTGATAACTCAGTAAGAGGACTGCTTATATACTTAAACAGTAGCACTTAGTCCTCTACGCACGCTCTGTATTGTTAACAGAAAATCATACTAAATAGTCACTAATGGAAAGAAACATCTCTGTCGGGGTCATTTCCCACAAGGAGCTTGAGATCGCAATGCGGAAAGGAAAATCGGTAGTTAAAGCATGAAATACTGAACACAGTAAACAGAAAAAATGACCTCCACAGCAACACCCTAATGACCTCAATCTTCCTTTGGAGGGTATTTCAAAAGAATAAATAAAAAAACAACTTGACAATTTATGTCTTCCACTTCCTAATAGTTTTTCCAGCTGATTTTTCTTTTCCTTTACAAAATATCTGTCATCTTAAAGGTGAACCTTTCACCCCCGCCTGCAATTGTCTAACACTAAATTGTACAGTAATTTGCCACTGATATATGGCCCTCTCAAAACTACATAATTCCTGTAGCCATTGTTTCAGAGAGGAAGCCCGCAATGTAAATACAGTAACTGAGAAAGCATGTGTGGGGAGCACGGGAGACATTGTCTGGCGACGGGGTGATCTGTAAACTCCTTTAAATTGTATATCCTCTAATGATTCCACAGCTTTGCAAAAGAAAATGAAAACAGGATTTTATGTTGCACCGGTGTGATTTACATAATGCCGGCAATGGCTCACACATGATTGTGCTTGGCTTTATGGCGGAGGGAAAATGAAGAGCCTCGTACTCATTGTTATAGAAAGTGAATTGAGTCTTTAAGATAGAACTTTGTTACGTCTCTCACATTTTTGTGTGCTGATGGTGTGTCCGTAGCTCAGTATAGCATATTATCTTAACCACAGTGTGGCTACGTTAAGATTCAATTCAGTTGCACACAAGGAGAAATATCCCTGCTGTGGCATGCTGTTTAACTGTTTTAAAAGAGCCTCATCTGACAAAGCTTTACATACTACCAAATAAAAACATAATACAAGTTAAAACGCTGTTCTGATCCCTGGAGGGTACACTGCTTTATTTAATACCATAAATACTGTATTACCGTCACCTCCTCCCCGCTTTTTAAAGGTTATTTACAACTTGATAAAGATCTGGCCTTGATTTTGAGTCTGAAAAAAGGCTGTTGCAAGGTGAACTTTGGTGGCTCTGGAAATAAAACGAAAGGTACTAGAGTGCAGTTTCTGCCCTAAAAAGGCAGCTCTGGATATGGAATGCCACAGGCAGCTGTTCCTGTCTCATCAGACGACATGTTATAAAGATAGCCCCACTTGGGTTGAAATAATGCCACCCATTCCTGCCCCAAAGCACACTCTATCATGCTCTATTGTTCACAGAGAGGCCGCGTGGGGGAAAGAGATGTTGAGACTGTGTAGTTTGTCTTGTTAAGCAAAGATATGTATAACATCTTTGTTTGATGTATCCATGTCTTTGCTAGATCAACAGCAAGGACCGAAAGAGCTTAAATACAAATGTATTATTTCCTTTTTATAAAGGCAAGCCGGCACAGGAGCAGTTATTGTGTCTAATCCCACTAAATGAGAGTCCGAAAGACTAAAAAGCGCTCAGCTTTTTCACTTCACATCCTGACAGCTTTAATGCTGTGCAGCCCCCACTCAGAGGCAGGACCACAGCCTCTTGAGGTGAGAGTGAAGATAACATTTCACAGTGTCTCTATAGCGCTGTCATGTGAAGGATTATGTAGCCGTGTATTTGCTGCTTGTAGTACCGTAGGGGGTCTGATACCTATCTGCCTGTGGTTTCAGCTGCCTGAGCTTTTTTTCTCCTTTTTTTCCACCGCCGCTCTAAACTCTGCTGACCGAAGAGGTGTGACTTAGAAAGATATGTACAGTATCTCTGTGTGTCCTTCCAGTCTTGTGCTGTTATTGTTAAGTGCTTTTGGATGTTATTAATAGCAGCAGTCACAGATCTGTTGTTTTTCCATTGCAATGTTTAAAATCAGTACAACATACTGACATAAGTCTGACATGACACGGTTCAAACTTTATTTCAGGTGATACTGAAAGCATTATAAATAAATAACGAGAAACGTTTTGAAAGAAAGTTTGAGTTACATTGAGATCATTTCTATCCTGGACAACTTTAAACTGACTTTATTCTTTTTTCTTTTCTTGTTTCCAATAGCTGAAAGGAGTTTATGCACTGAAACGACCTCAGGAAAATCCAAGATGGCCGCCAAAAGGAAAGGTGGCCTAAAACTTAATGCTATCTGTGCCAAGCTGAGCCGTTCACAGGTGGTGTTCGACACCAGCTCCCAGAATGCAGAGGGAGACCAGAGTGTAGCAGAAAACAGCGAGCATGGCAGTTCGCACTACGATGACAACGAGACCATCTTCCCCGAGAGCCTGAACCTCAGTCAGAGTCTCGAGGAGGACCAGAAGAGACGCGAGGCCATCGAGAAGTGGGTCAACGGCGAATACGGCGATGAACCACCAGCTACTCGTGATGAAGAGGAGCATGAACCCAAAGTCAGCAATGACGAAGATGCCCCTCCCCAGGGCGTGTACATGGTACGCCCCACAGGCTGCAGCGATGACGAAGACAAGACAGAGGAGGGGGAGCCCGCGACCGGCTCTCAAGATGGCAGTTACCATGACGACAAAGAAGCTGAAGAAAGGCCTCCAAAAGAAACCACCTACAAGCCACCAAGCGAAGCCCAGAGTCGTCCGCCACCTTTCGCCCCCACAGGTACAATTTGAATTTGTTGTCCAATCAGTTTTCTTTCTAATGTCGCCACCTTACTCTGATTAATAGCCAACCCTTTTTATATATCTCAAACCAACACTACCTTTGCCCTTTAAAACATTCCACTCCATAGTATTATAGGCCCAATGCTTAGATAGAGGGCGGGTGACATTGCCACATCCACATAAGCTTAAGTGTGCCCATTATTGGAAAGAGACACTCTAGAGTTACATTATGAATAGCCAGTGACATTACCCTGAAGACATATTCAACTGGCAGGCCAGGGGGGAAAAACAGGAACTTGTCAGTGTGTGGTTAACTGCATAAAGAAATTCATAAATGGAGTAGGCTTACAACATAAGGCCGTTTATGCACTCTCCCAGCAGCTGTGGGCCAAGAGCGCATGGCAGAACCAGGCTAAGCTTCATATTACACCCAGGATTACATATTGAGTCTTTGATTTTCCCTAAGCTCACTAAACTTAGCCACTGCTTCAAACTCCTCTATTACATGAAATTGAAGTCTGCCGTGGAGGAGCGAAGGTTCCCTTTTTTTAACAGTTGTCAAATCCACAAGATCAATTTCTAAATATACTCAGAAATAGCGAAATTATATTGCAGTGCCATATATCACTTAATCATGTTATTATCTTCTCACAAACAACAGTAGGTCCATGTTTTATAGATATCAGATACATTCCTAAATACCATATGCTCTTGTAAATGACTCATTATAACCCCTGTTAAATTGTTAGATTTGTTTCCACGGTATTATTCACTGATTATCAAACAGATGAAGCTGGCAGTCATTCTGAAGTAGCAAGAGTATGTGTTAACAGCACAAACAATATTTAAGAAAGTACCTTCTACGGTTATACACTTGGTGACACACACACTATAGAAAATATTTGCCTTTGTATAGCAGGAGTTAAAACAGAGTGCTCTTAAAAGGAGACAAAACATGGCTCGGTTATATGAATAGATAAAGTTTCACAAGCACCCAGAGAAAAAAAAATACTGCAATTTGCAGGTGAGAACGGTTGTTGCGGTAGAAAAACAAGTTTTGTTTTGTGCTTGCTCACCTCACTTTAGCAGTTTTTTGGTCTTTCATCTAGGTTTATGTATCTACCTCAGAGTCATGTACACATGCTCTTTTTCTTTGCATTTCTTTTTGTTTAACAGCAGTAGCTCCGGCCACATACAGAATTGGGGGCAGGGGCTTCTCAGAAACTGAAGCAGGTTTCATTTCAGAGGCAAATGAAAAAGGCTTTGTGGTTTTAATTAGTCATTTTGTGTTTATTTCATGGCAATAAAAACGCCTGTCTGTAAATATGTATTGCTGTTGTGAAGCAGACCTACACCTTCTCCTGCACCGGCTCCCTTAACTTTACATCTCACAACAAAGCCAGAGTGTTTTTGAAGACTGCAAGGAGAGCACACTGCATCAGTTGCAAATCTTTTCTTTAGACACTTCTTTTTTTTTTCAGAGTTGCTCTTTGTTGATTGTAACTAGGGCATCTATATTGCCATGTTTCAGCTCAGCTCACAATTAAAACATTTTTTCTCTCTCTCTCTCTCTCTCTCTCTCGCCGCTGTCTTTCAAAGGCTGATGCGGAGTGCACATAATTATGCATATAAACATAGTGGCTTAATTATCTCTCACAACATCAGTGACAATGTAATTAACAAACATTGCAAGATCAATGAGAGAAACTGCGACCTTCAAAACATTTAACTCCTCACATTGAGGCATCGTGCGGATTTCCTATCAGTGCAAAACCCCAGAATACTTTTCCTAGATAATTTAGATGTCGCATTAGAGCCCCCATAAGCCAGTCAATGGGAAAAAACAATGAATAAAAAGTATGAAAGCAATGACAGAGATGCTCATAGCGACGGATCAAACAAGCTTGACCATGACTTCCATTTGCAATTCTGGGTTCACTGTAAAAGGTTATTGTTCATTTCAAGCTGTTTCAAAGCCCTCTCTATTTACTGCCTGTTAATTAACTAACAGAGAGGAAGTTTGAAGCTTCGTGCAGTTTTGTTCTTGTCAAATTAGCACATGATGTCATTTATTCAAAGCAACTCTTTATTAAGCCACTACTGTCCATTTAAACATGACATATTTCAACAATTCACTAGCATGAACACAAATGGCCACCTAAAACTCTATTTAAATGATTGTACCATATACAGAAAATCCCACTATTTAAAATGTACTCGGACTGACAACTGAAAAGATGGCATATTATTAAAACATTTTTTCGTCACCAATTGGTTTACATTGTGCTTGTGTGGTTCAAAACTGACACCCTTTAGTAGGTATTCAAACTCTAGATTAGTCCATATATAGCCTCCAACATGCACCTTTATCATCAGCGACACCTCTGCCTCTTAGTCCTGTGAGCGGGGAACTATGCCACGGATGGCCATGTTTGGTCCGCAAAGGAGATATAATGCCCATCTGTTATCATATCTGGGAGGGAAAATGTAGCCTAATTGCCTCAAATATAGACAAGGCAGGTCTGTCGTGTGTAGGGTTTTGCTTGACTGAAGTGTCAAGATTAGAGACCACTTGTTTGAAAATGTCCAGGGCCACCGGAGAGAGTGAAGAAGGAAATGTCAGTTTATGTTCTTCTTTTTTTTGTTGGGTGGGTGGTAGCAATGTGTGGCCATTTTCACCTTAACGCATGGACCCATACAGACCAGCACTTTCCCAACTGGTGTCACATGACATCATTAAGCGGCAGCCAGATAGGGCAGGAGTTGAAAATTCATTTACATGTTTTTTTAGAAAGGTTATCTCCCGTCAGTCCCACTCATAATCCCTTTAAGTCCAATCATTTGCCTTTCATTGATAGCACGCCACATGGATCCGCTGATGAATAAAGAGACTCTGCACGTTTTTTTTTGGGAGTGGTGAGGATAATACCAGAGGCAAATTGAATAAAACTAAAAACTAAAAGGGATTTCTGTTCTCCCATGACAGAAACCAGTAGTCTCTTTGCAATCATTTGCAATTGACTGTACTACAAAAATAATATGTCTTCTTTCATTTGGAACATCAACGCAAAACTCAACAGGCATTTATCTATTCCCATTAAATGTATTTATTATTATTTTTTGACATATGATTTCCATTTAACCTGATTTTTTTTTAACATCGTCTCTAGCTCAGTAAAGTGTAGTTCCATATTCTGACTCATACGGGCTGTGGGCGGGTCTGCCCTAACTTTAGAGCTATATGATATTCTGTGTCCTGAGGTGCACTTAACAAATATACTAGCAGTACATTCCAATCAAGCACGAAGGTTATCAACACTTGAACCAAATGAAAATAATGTTCGGATCGGATTTATGTAGACATGAGGTAAAAAGTATCAGATAAATTGTACTGCACCCAGCTGTAGATACCAGTATTGTTTATACAGTATTTCACTCTGTGGTTTCAGCACATGTGAAAACAGAGAGAAGATTTGCCGATCAGATCTGTGGTAAACATGCAGGTATTTCCTCTCAAATACCTGATCCATTTCTGTTCAATTTTTCATGCCCTTTTCGATCCACCAGATACTCTTTCATACTGAACCTCCACGCCCAGGAGCAACTCCAGTGAATGGAAATGTAGGGATTATTTTACATGCTGCTCATGGGATGTGAAAAGCAGGGCACAGAGACTGACTTAGCAATAACTGAGAAATCTGAGACAAGTGCAGAAAATATTTGTGTATTAATTACCCGGATGGTCCTGTAGGTGGTATTCGCTCTCACCAGCTCATGTGTTCATGGTGATGAAAAAAAAGCAATAAAACATTTTATTTTTTTTAAAATGTATTCGACCCTGATCCTGTGACTGTGCCAAGGATGAGTCTAGAAGGCCAGAGCTTTTACATGACCCAGGTGAAATGATCATGTGGTACATTACTATCCTGCCTGACGTGCAGACTGACACAACAAGAGATTTATGGAATTGAGTTGGATCTACAAACTCAAATGCCTCACCAATCCTATCTAAATTTCTCCCCCTTAGTTTTTATTGTTTCTCCCTCACACACCCTTTCTTTTCTTTTCATCTCTTCTTTATGAAGAGCTTTGTCCCTCCAATGCTTTCAGAAACAATCCTTTTTTCCCTTTTCCCCACTCTCTGACCCCTTGCACTAACCTGGATGAAAGTTAATGGGCCAGAATTAATCTCCACCTAATGCAATTAAACTATACATTGAGTATATTTCGCCTATGTCCTTGGGGAAGTTGTCCAATTTAATGGACTCTTAAAATGAAAGTGATGTTTCAGTTCACAAATGTGTAAAAAGGGGAAAGGATTCATGCTTTTTACTCTTGAAGGTGACACAACAATCATGTTATTTTCCAATACCTTACACCAAGCTTTATGGAGGATTATCAATTATAAATTGCACTTAACATGACATGATTTCCTGGCAGACAGTAGTTACAATTATATTATTTTTTTAATCGTAAAGCATTAGTCATAATGTAAAAGTCTGACTCATTTATGAGAAGTTGTATACATTATTTTTCCTAAAGTTCCCCCTATATTCTTTTGTTTTAAATATGATTTCTTAATAAAGTTGCTAAGATTTATTGCAAATAAAAGTCTCAAAAGAAATGTTCTAATGAATGTTGATAACATAACACACTGTAATGAGAGAAGTTTGTTTATTTAGTGTGTTGTTTGGTACAGTCGCCTGCAGATTTTGCAGGTTTGATTAGAGTGCAACCAAAACAGGAAGAGCATTGCCTGCTTGTTTATAGACATATACATCCACAGATATAAAGATATGCTTCTCTATTGTGCAGTGCAGAATCACTTATTTGAAATGTACTATAAAATATAAGATAGCTTGTTTTTCAATAATTACGCTGACAAAATATATTTCAAATTGATTTACAAAGCAAGAGCCAGATTACTTTATTTTTCACTTGATATTTGAAAAAAAAGTAGAGCAAGCATCAGTCAACATGAAGCAAGAGAGAACCATTTCAAAGACTGATTGACTGACATGAATTTAGCCACTGATTAACACGTCTTGAGCAATGGTTTAATTTGGGTTCAGTTTCTCTCCCAAAATAAAAAAAACAATCATACTAATCTGTTGCAAGTAATGAGTTAATTATTAATGCCAGACAGCACCAATGACTCTGAGGTAACTAAACTTTAAACTAAATAAGTTTTTACCTCTGCTGTTTGCGCCTCCTTAAAGTGAAAAATCTGAGCGGTTTTTGTTAACTTTTACAAAGTAGCTCATTACTCTTTTTTTCTCCCTGCAGGAGAAGCATCTGCCCTGCGAGACTATGCAGCCAACACCATGAATGAATTTTTAGGAATGTTCGGTTATAATGATCAGCAGGTAAGGGATGAGCTGACCAAGAAGATCAGCTTTGAGAAGCTCAAAGCCGCTACCTCAGACCTCTCGCCCCTCAGCAGTGAGGAGGCCTCACGGCGCGCCCGCTTCTCTAAGTACGAAGAGTACATTCGTAAGCTAAAAGCTGGTGACGCCCTACCTTGGCCCATGCATGCTTCCCCACCAAAACCAGACGACCTCAACCCAAAACTGGCCCAAGACAAGAGCGCCACCATGCTCCAGACCTCTGGGTGCCTCCCAGGGGCCGAGGCACAGATCTACCCCCCCAGCCTGGACCACAAACAGCCAGGAGGACCTCAGCTCGGCGCCTCTCAGCCACAAAATCCCTCTCACATCCAGAGCATGGCGTCCCGAGCCTCTAAGTATGACTTCTTTATTCAGAAGCTGAAGATGGGTGAAAGTCTACAGCAGCAGAACGGTAATGCTTACAAGCGACCCTCCAAGTACGACCTGGAGAATGTCAAGTTTCTGCACCTCTTCAAGCCAGGTGAGGGCAACCCTGACATGGGCGGCAGCATTGCCTTTAAGACTTACAAAGTTGGCCGCCCTTCCAAGTATGACGTCAGAACAATTCAGAAGCCAATGCCAGGAAATCCAGAGGCCTCTTTGATGCCCAATGTCCTCGCTACAGCACCAGGAAACCTGGGAGCTCCTGGTGTTCCCACCATGGGCGCATCTGGGGCCAGCATCGCCCCCGGGCTCACAATGGACCAGACAGGAAACATAAGCTTCAACGCCGCTGACTACCTGAAGTCCAGCTTTTCCAAGACTGACTCCATCACCACGGGCACTGTTTCCTCCGTGAAGTAAGTCTGTGTAAACATCATCATAACAAATAATTTCTTATTGGTAATTATCGCTTGTTGACAAGAAGATATGTTGCATATTACGCAAGTTATTTGCACCTAAACAATGCATACCTCTTAAATTCAGCTAATAAAAAGCATGTCCATTAAAATTCCAATTTAAAGTTTATTGGTGGACTGAAAAGATCCCAAGTTCCAATGGAACACCTTGGAGCCAATGTGAAGCTCACATACACTTAACTGCTACTGTGAGTCAGTTAGCCTAACGCAAAGGTAATTGCTACCTCCACAGCAGCCAACAGGAATGTGGTGTGAAATAGCGCATAGCGCCCAATAGATCCACGACATGATGAGTTGGGAAGGCACATGAAGTGTTTACTCGCTGTAGCACTCCGTGGAGACTGATTTAGCACAGTCATCGCAAAGTGACTGACTTCTTTCGTTTGGCTAGGGTGTAACAACTCTCCCTTTAATTACTTTGGAGCCATGACTAACCTCCCGGCGAGTCACAGGGGCCGACTCTACACTGCCTGACGAGTGCACTTTAAAGGAAGCAAACGAGGGGTTTGGGGAGCTAGCCTACAGTCGTGTGCACTACCAGTAGGAAACAGCTCCCAGAGTCTGTTTGATTGGTTTTAACCTTGTCTCTAGTTAGTCAAGACCTATCAAAGACACTGTTCAAGAGCCCTCAGGCACCTCTCCCTCAGGCTTTGGCCTTTGTCAGGTTGGGGCTCAGCGAAGCTGCAAGCTTGGCTAACTGACCCAGTCTGGTGCTTGTACACAGGGAGGAGAGAGGATGCTAGTGAGAATGTCTGGCAGCGCATCCTCCCCTCTGGGCCAGATTAACCTCAGGTCATCCCCCGTGTGGAGCTGCTCACATGGAGCTAAATGCCATTTCTGAATGGGAGCAGGCATAACCAATACTGTAATGTGACTGTCACTGTTACCAGTGATAAAAGGTACACAGAAGTTCTCAGTTTGCCTCTGTAATGTGTTAACATTTTCTGGATTTCCTTTTTTAAATGATATCTGATTAAGTTGAAATTTGAAGCTGCAGTGTTGTCTTACATCTTTGTTTGAGTCCAGACTGATTGGAGACAACTTGACATCAACATTAGAGCCAAGGCCCTTTGAGATGTTCAGAAAGCACCATTTCAGAGCTTTTCTTCATCGTCCCTATTATCCAATTTTGCATATAAGCACTCACCAAAATACCCCTATAAAAGATTAATGTTGCTTTGCTCCTGCATTTTGCCTTTCATTGGTTGGGAGCCCATGCATCAAAGTGTGTGGCTTCCATCCCTGATTCATACGGCACATGAAAAGGCTGTTGTGCCACAGGAAAATGTATATTGATAGTCCAAAGTTTGGGTATTGTGTCAGTTTGTTTTTATTAACAACAGGCAACACAACCTTAACATTTATCATGTCTCTTTTGTGTTTGCTGTTGCATTAGGAATGGCCTGCCACCCGATAAACCCGCCAGCGATGACATCAACCTCTACCAGAAATATATTGCCAGGTATGCAAATCCCTCAATGTGCCAAAGCAATGAAAAAATATACCCAAAACAGAGATTAACCTTTTTTGTATTCACTGATGTTGTGTTTTATTCAGTGATGTAACTAGATCTTAGACTGGTGTGGGGATGTTCTGTGCGCAGTAAATTGATTAAGAAAAGACTCCAATTTATGTGCTGAGAGGAAGTAGAAGGATGGGGGTAATGAAAGTGAAATGGTTTGATGGTAGCTTACTGTAACTGGTTGAGTAAATGCTCACTGTTGTGTATAGCACTAAAACATTGAGGAGAACATAATTCTGTGCGACTCTGTGACTGACACAGAGAGGATATGAGCTTAGGCCGGGGTCTTCCTGAGTTCTGCCGTTTATTGTTGAACACCCTAGGAACCGACTGCTCTAAAAAGTCTGTCATTCACACCAACAGAGACAAAAACATCAGGGGAGGGGAGGTATCTTGTGTTTCAATGGACACAGAACAATGTCCCCCATTCTGGATTCATTTCCAGCCGACAGTAGAAAGGTGATTATCATTTGTTTGTTTATTCCGTTTAAAAAGAAAGAAAAACAGCATTTGAAAAGCCAAAGTGGCTTTGGCGTTAATGATTACTTCTCCAAGCCATAACATGAAGGGCACAAATCAAAGCCTTGGCACTGACAGACACACACACACACACATACACACACGTCCCCTTCTACACACACACACAAAACCCCTTCCTTGGACTGATTACATTTTGCAAGAAGATTTAATTAAGGAATTTTTAATGAGGCTTCTGCTGGCACTGCCAAGAACTGTTTTGATATTTGCGCTGCATAATGCATAAAATTTGTCTAAACATCTCGGCAGTTGATGCACGGGGAGGCTGCAGATAAGCCCAGATACAGTTTCAATTTCCGTGTTGGGTTGGGAAAAAAAGAGAAAGAAAAGAAGAAGGGGGAGGAAAAAAATGGAAAAGGAGGGCTCATAAAAAGGGCAAATGTAGCACCAAGAGGGGAGGTAGAAGCGGGGGAGGGTCCTTTTGGAGCTAGGGCTAATGAGTGCACACTAATACTAAAAAACAGCTTTGTAAACGTGTTTGTACCAATCCTTATGAAAAGAGAAAAAAAGTTCTTCATCTCCTTACCAGACTACAGTTTGATGTTTTAAAGAGCTTCCCTGGTAGTGTTTCGTTGCAGTTTTCTCTCTTTAAATGCTTTCATGCACCCACTTTTGCCTCGGCACTTTGATCTGTGTAACTCTATTGTAACTGGAGATGCGCTGCAATCTCTGTATCGTGGCAATATTAATATTTAATCTGCTGCTGAATAGCAGCGGCCCATTAGGCCCCCTGACGCGGCAAGTGGGAATTGTCCAGAGGCAAAGTGATACAGCTGGGCAATGAGCAGAAGGGTGGGCCATGGTCTCAGGGGGTGGGGGGCTTTGTGTGCTCATAAGTGTACATGTGTGTGTGTGCGTTTGAGTATATATGCACTTAAAAGAAGAGTATTGAAAACAGTAATTGTTTGGATATATGTTTGGTTGAGTGTGTGTACGCACTTTATATGACTTCAGGTTTTTCTTTTTCTAAAAAAGACATCAAACCTCCCAAAAGCCCCCTCTCCCTCCATCACCATTTTCAGACACACACACATACACTCTCACAGCCAACTTAAAAAGAGTAGTGGATATGCCGTTCAATTAGCTTAATGAACTCAGCAAAGTGATCTGTAAATGCAGCTCTGGGATAATCCTAACAAGGAAAAAACAGAAAGAGAGATGGAAAAAATATTACTTAGCCCCCTTTTCCCCCTCTCCTCTGCACTAGCAGATGGAGCTCTTGGCAGCAGCAGTGCAAATGTTTATTTGTGTGTTTTCACTGGTAATTGGAGGATTTTAACAGTCATCATCGTCAGGCTTATAATCACCACCGTAAAAGTGGCTGTACTGTAGCAAGCAGCAGCATTTTTGTATATATCTAGCACCAGACTAAAATCATTTCTTTTTGGGTTGCAAAGTGCTAGGAGCTGATCTCAGGACACCTGACCCTTTTCCGCAGGGTGAAACTGTGGTTAATCTGAAAGAACTATGCATTGATTCGACAAGGGCTTTCACAGGGTGGAGAAATAAAGTAGTCCTAGGGTCCCTGATCCTTGAGTGTGTGTATATGCGTGTCGAAGGAAAGGGTTTCAGTGTAATAAGTGTCTCTTACGGCTGCTTTGGAAATAAATGGAGCTAATTTGGCTGAAATTGGTGTGACAGACGGTTAAATTGTTGCAGCAGTGTGGAAAGCAGAAGTCAGTTTGAAGGTGTGCGTTGTGTTACTTTGAAGGTGAGACGCGCATAATGCCTTTCAGAAATCCTTCACCTCTTTTTTCATTTTGCTGTTCCCGGTATTTGAAGTAATTTCTTCAGTAATCATTCTTGATCTGCCATATTTTTTTCCATCACACTGACATATTTCTGAGCGGCTTTGTCATTCAGCCTGTTTCATCCTTGTGACTATTCTCAGTTCAATAAGCTCTGATGTGTTCCTATGTTTTTAATCAGTCTTCATTTTTGTTTGATTCCCTTGCAGTGTGTGGCCGTTAAAATGTGTAACTGTTGAAATGTGTCCTGCAACTTGGTTTTTAGGTTCTCTGGAAGTCAACACTGTGGACACGTGCACTGTGCCTACCAGTACAGAGAGCATTACCACTGCATGGACCCTGAGTGTAACTACCAGGTGAGCGTGAGTACTTTACAAATTTTTTGAGCAACACTCAAATACACATTCTCTCCTGTATACTGCAATCTTTAGCTTAACCTCAGAACCGCACAGTTCAGATCAATGCACAACGAGAACAATTTGACAAAGGTCATTTTGTTTGATTCTCCGGTTTAAATGAATGAAAACTTAGGTTGCCTTGTTTATTCATAACAAGGTTACTTCACGTGACCTAAAGCTACGTATGCTCAGGACATGACAAAGGGAATGTGATCATCTCATAGACAAACAGGATAATGTGTTATCATTTCATTAGTGGTCACACCCATCCAAAGTTTACGCAGATGGAAAGTTTGTTGGTCTTTGGTCTGCCAAACAGGCTATGAGTGTTTACATCCGTGCAGTATGCAGGCGCCTTCCAGGCACAGTTGGTTTTTGACGGTTGGCCTTTTATCACAAGGGTTAATTGTAAATATGTTTGAAATATGCCCCTTTTTTTATCTATGTGTTTCTATCCTAAAGACATCTGCCACTAATCCCCTTTCACATTATTAATCTAGTCCTGGTCCCAGGAGTTGTCATGTATGGCACAGGAAGCAGAAAAAAACACAAAGCAGATCATAATACAGGCCTTGTGTGTGCTGTTGCATATGGCCTGAGAGAGTTAGACAAACACAGGAAGATTTGTCAAAGATGTCAAAAATCCTTGCAGAGCTAGAGCTGTGTGTGTTTTCCTTCCTTTCCTAACACTTTCTGAATTAAGCCATCTTCAGCTGTAATCTCCCATGTCTGCTCCTGATCGAGAGAGATTACCGCTCGATAAATATTGTTTATATGGTGAAAAGCATTACAGATCTAAGCTTTCATTTTCTGCATGAATCCCACTTCACAGTCTGATGGGACACATTCTTGGAGGAATACAAAGGAAAATCATTTCATGTCATTATTTAGAGTGTTAGTTCAGGTTATCATGGCAATTTCCACGGTCAGGTCCACATTTCTCTGTTGCTTTTGCGTTGCGTGGAAACACAGATATGCTTTGGAAGCCAGCTCTCTGGGATGTCAATACCCAGAAAAAAAAAAAAGCAGCCAGTGATGAGCAGCCCCTTTCGAAGCGATAACTCATGAAATGTTACATGACACACACTCCTGGAATATTATCCCACTGCCAGCCTGCGGGCTATTGGCTGAGTCTGAACATTCTCCTTTCATGGGCTTGTACATGAGGGAGTGTGCATCTTGCCACACTAGTGGGAATCCTAAAATAAATGTAGCAAGTGGCTCCCAACCTTCTTCACCACTCAACTGAAAATGAGATCTTTTTCCCAGTCAGCTCTCTCCACGGCCTATTTTGGACGGCTTGTTGGATCGTGTATACCATGACCGCAGTTCAACTTATCTTCCAGTCATGACATACCAGAAAGTCCAAAATGTAGCTCCGAATTTTGTAGAAAAATTGTTGATGAATCCAAAGCGTTCATCAATTGGATTAAAAATCCTAATGAAGTGTTTGCTCCTACAGGAGTCAAACACCTCAAAACATGCAATGGGAAACAGGCCAAGAGCAAGGGAATGAACAGCTGGGAGAGATCTTAGCTTTTTTTCTTCTGCGCGAGTGGAGCACATGACACAAAGCAATTACCCTACTTTGTACAGCAATTAGTTGCTTTTAGAATAGTTCTTTCTGATGTTTCTACCTCAACTGGAGATAAATATGGATTGAAGACAGAACTGTCTCATTGATTTGCGCTTCTCCTGTTTCAGTTTCTGTAACATCAGCTTAAGCCCAATTACAGCAGATTTTGTTGCTGCGAGTCTCTGTGGAGTGACTTTTCTCCTTTCCCTTCCTGACTCCTGGGTGTGGGAGGGAATGTGTATTTATTTATTAATGTTTTAATTTTAGAAGGCGGGTCTCTTAGCATATTCACTCATTATTAAAGCCTGCCCCAAAAGTGAGTGTTTAATGCTTTAATTAAAAACGGAATCATATCGCAGCGAATTGAAAGGGAAAAACGTTTTTTGGTTGGCTTGTTTGTTTGTTTGTTTGTTTCTCTTGTCTTCTGTTTTCCCCTGTGCATGTCTGAGAAACCATCTGCATGGAACATCATTCTTCCAGAGACAGAAACATCAGAACTGTGATCTTGCATGTCAATTGATTCATCTTAATTAAAAAAAAATACATTTAGGTGGAAGGGAAGAAATAATGTCGAGACAGGGGGCGTATGGGGAACATACTTCATGTTCCATGTGGAAGCTTCCAGAGCCTTTGGTGCTGCATTTGGATAGGACGCAACTTTGAGATATGCAAAGTAAATCAATAACCACAGAACGCATCATCTTTAAAGACATCGTGGCCCTCTCCGTTACAATGTGCACAGCCCCCCCAACTGCCAATTTGGCTCCTGCATGTTGCAGCTGCTGCTTCCATAGATATAAAGTGACTTGTTGCTGATTCTGTGACTGGTTTAAATAAACACCAACCTGTTGCCTACATTTTTCCCCCTCTCCTTTTGCAGAGGTTTACCAGTAAGCAGGATGTTATCAGGCACTACAACATGCACAAGAAGAGGGACAACTCTCTGCAGCATGGCTTCATGCGCTTCAGCCCTCTGGACGACTGCAGTGTCTACTACCATGGCTGCCACCTCAATGGAAAAAGCACCCATTACCACTGCATGCAGGTACACTACAAAGACTCACACCTCCTCCACCATCTACACACATAACAACTGTAAACTCACAAAGACAGTTTGCAGGCATGCATGCCCCCAAATGCACAGAAACAAAAAGAATATCTGCAAATATGGCCACACGTTCTTAAGCATTACATACAGTACGGTATTCTATTGAGAAATGTGGTATATCATCCATCATTTAATTTACATTTCAGAAATACACATTAGACAACAAACATGGGTAAACCAGATTTCACGTAGACCAGGCAAAATATAGTTGTGTGTCTTTTAAGATTCTAAAAACATTTTTAACAAAGTGCAGTTTAAAGCAACATGAGGCAGGACAAAAAGGAGTCCTCACAATCTGGAGAGTCACGCTGCTTTTAAGACATACAGTACATGACTACAGGATGTTTGAAATTCACAGTTTACCTACATCTGCGAAATGGAATTACAGTTCCCTACTTTTCCATTTACACCAAAGTGTCTTTAAAGAGCAGTACAAGAAAATTGAAAAAGGGGGGAATAAATGTGCGGCTGCTTGTGCCTTCCCCACCTCTTCACTCTCTCGCTCCTTAATTGGCATGGATAAAATTCAGTAAGGTGTTTATATAAACTACACATTTTTCATTTTTTAGTACCAAGCAGCCAGTTGAAGATTATTCCCCCTTCTGGATTTGTTTAATTTTTTACATCTGCTTATTTTCAAAGTGTCATTGTGCCGAGAGCTTTCTCACCGACAGGGCAGCAGCGCAGTGGAGGATGTCTAGAGATATATTCTTTTTTAAACCTCTCTAACGGCGTAATTGTTATTAGGACATTTCAGCCCTTGTTTTAACAGTCCCTGAGAACCTGCAGATGTTGGCATCGGCTCTCTTGATTTAGGGGGGAAAAGACAGAGTGGCATTTTTTTCATTGTTTGACTCAATATGGAGAAGTTGCCCGGTTTGTGCGGCTCAAAAGTGCCAGGGATGATATACAATTGCTTCATTTAATTCAAACATTACCTGTTTTTTCCCCTCTGTGTTTGCTCTGAGGGCCCCTGAGTACCAGAACATTTTAAACTAAAGACAAAGACTGTCATCTTACTCGCGTCTGCTTTCTTCTGCCCCCTCACCCTCTCAATTTTGTCTCAGAGTTACAGTAAGTTTGTGGTGGCTGTATTGTCACACTCCAAAAGTATTTTCTAAAAGGCAGCTTTGCCAGGAAGTTATTGTAGTTTCAGCTACCTGTTGTGACCACTGTGTCTTTCAGTCACTTTTTTCTTTTTTTCCAACTGTCACAATGACAAGACTTTTCCAATTCACTGGTCTGACTTGAAACTTGTACTGCTCAGTTGCATCACCACACATAAAATAGTGAACGTGAGAAAACAATCTTCCACTCATTTCTAGGCCACTGGCATGCTCTTAACCACACTCGATCGCTTGTACAATATTTCAGATGTCTTTAAAGCATTGCTTTTTTGAAAACCATATTTGCAAACTGTAACTTTCATGTCTGCTTTGCAGCTAGATCTGGTTTTTGATTGCCATGCTTTGTCTTTGCTTTGCAGGTTGCCTGCAGCAAGGTGTACACCAGCACCTCAGATGTCATGACCCATGAAAACTTCCATAAAAAGAACGCCCAGCTGATCAACGACGGCTTCCAGAGATTTCGTGCCACCGAGGACTGTGGCACAGTTGCGTGTCAATTCTACGGGCAGAAGACTACACACTTCCACTGCAGGTAAATACTGCACGCCTCATGTGGTGCTCGTATCAAACATACACTAAACATAAATGCATTAAACACAGTTAAATATACATTTATATGTTTTTCTTTTTATATTTTATATTTTAAATTGTGTAGGAACAACTGCTTACCCCAGCTGCAGAAGCCAATGATAGTGGTTTAAATAAATACAAAAGCCTAACAATTGGTAGAAAACATTTAATATGGGCTTGTTTCTAAAAGAAAAATAAATAAATGATAGGCAGCACACAAGTGAAATCCAATCTAATCTAATGGCTTCCTTGTTTCTCTGCCTGCACCATTAGTATCTTTAAACCTCACAGATTCAAATGAGGAAAACAAAAATAATCACACTTTTATTTTGAAGAGCATGCACCACAGAACTGTTATCAATGAACATAGAGAATCACTAGGTTGATTCATCAAACTCCCTCGCTGGATTGTATCCCTTTGGCAAAGGTTGCAGGTGGCAACACATCAATGGGATCCCGCTGTGTTACAGAACTGCCTTAGTTATCGTTCCTCCTTTGTGAAATATTTGAATCATGTGGACCCTCTCACTGACTCCCAACTGCACCAAGGTACTGAGCGGTCTTTATAGCACAGCGAATCATGTTTTCTCTTTGTTTTCCTTAAATGTTTTCAGGCGCCCAGGATGCACATTCACTTTCAAGAACAAGTGTGACATTGAGAAGCACAAGAGCTACCACATCAAGGATGATGCCTACGCCAAAGATGGCTTCAAGAAATTCTATAAGTATGAGGAGTGCAAGTACGATGGCTGCGTGTACAGCAAAGCAACCAACCACTTCCACTGCATACGCTCAAGCTGCGGCTTCACCTTTACCTCCACTAGCCAGATGACCTCCCACAAGCGCAAACACGAGCGCCGGCACATCCGCTCCTCCGGTGTCATGGGCCTCTCTTCCGCCTACATGGTGCCAAAGGATGAGGCCGAAGAATCGAGCAACGATGACCTGATGGACTTCTCCAACATTAGCAGCAAGAACTCCAGCCTGAGTGCCTCGCCCACCACCCAGCAGTCCACCACTATGTCGCACTTGTTGGCCATGCCCACCACCATTGTCTCTTCCTCCGCTACATCAGGCCACGCCCTCAAACCCACATCCTCGCTACCCAGTGCGGGTCAGCGTATGTCCAGCCTGCTGTCCCAGACCCTGCCCAGCAACATGCCCGTGGGCCTTTCTCTTTCCAACAGCGGTATGGCCTCCTCCAACCCGTTCTTCCCCCTCATACCCAGGATGCCTCACCAACCACCTCCAGCAGCCGCTAGCCTGATGTCAGCTGTAACTTCAGGGGCCCACTCCATGCCCACCGACTCAATGACCCAAGGTTTCTCCACAGTGGGTGCAGACGGATCCATGGCCTCTACCCCAACGTCCTTCACCACCGCCTCCATCATGGAGAAGATCTCGGCTAGCAAAGGTCTGATCTCTCCCATGATGGCCAGACTGGCAGCCGCTGCCCTGAAGCCCTCCAACCACCTCGATACAGGTCAGTCTCTTCACAAATAGAAGTTGTTTTGCAGAATCAATGTGTTTACTAAGCCACAGAACAATGGGAAATAGTCACTTTTAATCAAAACACTTTTAAAAATCAAATAATTGTCATATATATTGTGTTTAGCAACAAAAATATGCCTATTTCCTGCTTTTTTGCCTTATATGATTTTAAATGTAATTCCTTTTGCACTGGTAGTCAGCCAAAACAAGCGAGCTAAAACCAAGCATTAATCGAGTCATCTAATGACAAACAATCATCTTTGGATCTCTGATAGTATCTAAAGAGAATTTACTGCACATATACTAAAAGCCACATCCTTTTTTTTGTGTGTGGACTTCACTCCACTGCAGCCAGAGCACACAGAGTGCACTCAGAGGTCATTTCTATCACTATCCCACAGTGGAGAGAAAGGCAGAAAAACTGCTGCTTTCAGGCTTAAAGGGGCATACCGGAGGCATAGTCCTCTGCTCTGGGCTTGTTATTGTGTTGATCGTTTGTTAGATACCCACAATCCATTTGGAGATAAATGCGCTGACAGGGGAGAGTAGAGCCTGTAAAAGTCTCTTATGATGTTCAGAGTGGGGGCTCCTGGGGCTTGTGTCGAACATGTTTCCTCATCATTGGTCTCTTATCTATGTCTGCGCCTGTTCCAAGCAAATGGAGGTGGAATGAAATTAAGTTCAGAAATTGCAAGAACAAAAAATGTTAGTTTTTTTCTTTTTCGTCATGCCCTCTATGCAAACTGATAAAAATAAAAAAAACTATGAAAAACAGAAATTGCTCAGGCAGAAATTACTCAATGCACCAGAGCTGAGAAAAATAGCTTTTTTTTTTTCGCACTGACACAAGAATGCAGACACAGTTGCATGCACCAGCAAATGCACACTTTTAGAATTTCTAGAAACCTTCTGTTCCCACAAAAACATGTCAATATCTATTTAGCATAACCACAATTCACATAAATTTAGGAGGTAATTGCCTTGTCTATGCTTATCATATTGCTCTCAACAAAGCTTCAGAGAATGAAAATGAAGTTAAAGCATTCAATTGATAATGCACTGCAGAGCACACTCTTGCATTCAGTAGCAGTGGGGCCTCCTGTGCTGAGCCTGAGCAGGTGGGGTGCAGATTGTAAATGGGGCTGCAAGGGGGAGCGTCTCCGGATGTTGGGACTGGGAAGGATTACAATTCCTGGTGGTGTTCCTGGAGCAGGACAAGCCCTGGGAGAGAGACGGGGCAGCTGCTCCGGGGAGCCGAGCTGAGCCCAGGCTGTCAGGCTGAGCTCCACCTCTGGGCCTCCAGCAGGTAGTCTGAACACTGGGAAGGCCCCCACTGAGGGTGGGGCCTCCACAGATGGTGCCATCACCAGCCCTCTCGCAGTCTCACTGAGGGGCTGCAGCTCAGATCTCTCTGTGCTTTATAACAAAGCTGCTTTAAAACAAGGTCCCCTTTCACATTCTCTATGGTAAAAGTTCACTGCTGTTGCACGATTGAGGAGAAGCTTCGGTTTAGTTTCTCATATTTCAACTTCTTAAAATGTGTGAACAGGACATTTGGGGCTAAAATGAGGAGGAAGTGGTTTATACTTCTCCGTTGAAAAGGTGTGAGAAAAGTCACAGTGTTTGTGGCTATTTTTCACAGCGTTTATTTGTTCATAGGGTTGTGAAACTTCACTTCTATTGTGGTGAATTGGGCTTTTTTCCTGTTTCTGCTTTCAGTATTTACTCAGTATTTTTTCTTTTTTGCATGAATGTTCCGCTCTAATTTACCCCTAAGTGTTTTTCCCAGAGATTCAAGCATCTGAAGGGTTTACTAATTAGGCACACAGTACAAATGATCTTTCACAAGCTCTGTATCTTATCCGGAGTAATTACATGCTGATACATTATTCCTGGATAATTTCCAAAAAGAAGCTGCTTTGAGTCAAACTCATTTGTTCTTCCTCTTTGGGAAGTGGGTAGAAAAAATAACCTCATGATGTGCAACACAATAATAGATTTACACATTGTAATCCACCTTTAAAAGCCAATGCATCCTCTGATATAGTGCAGGAATGCTTTAATCCGCCTGATGATCATAAAGTGGGAGCTGCTCTTGATTTAATGTGCTCTCATTTGGGCTGAGAGTTGATTTAATTGTCAATGACAAGGCAGGATCTGTCTGGCTTGTTAATTTTGGGTGTACCCCTATTAAGTTGGGGGGAGGGAAGTAGTGGTGGACGGAGACTTGGTAAGCATTCAGTGACCTCAAACCAGACGTAAAATTGTTTGACTGCTGTTTTCCCTTCGCCCCACCTCCAGCCCCTCAAACCTCAGCCGTTGTCAAACTGAACTGACACTGACACTTCCTCATCTTCGAGCTTTCAGCTGACAAGGCCCAAGACCGGCGTTTCCACTCCTATTCTGGCTGATATGTCTTTGGGTCATCTTGTAGCGGGGGTAAACTCTGCTCGGTTTCCCCCTTACGTAGGCGGGTTTTGTTTTCTCTCCAACAAGAAAAAGGAGAGGAGCCTCACCAGGCTGAGGGCCAAGGGCACACACTTGGCTGCCCATGACCTTGCCTTGTCACAATCCCTCAGCACCAGCCCTGATTCCTAAACAACAGATCCCTCACCAAACCAATCATGGCCGCCGGTGCTCCTCAGTCATATAGTGTCTGAGAGGCAAGTGTCCCCCCTCCCACTGTCACATTAAAACAAAAAAAATAAAACACTTATTGTCTACCAAAAAGCCCAGCTTTCTCTGTGTAGCCCCAGGACAAATTAATATTTAAATCCCTTGAGGATCGGGGTGTGGGGCAGAATTCACCTTCCTGTCAGCATTTCTACCCCAAGTTGTCCCCTGGTCTTTATCTATTTTATTCCATCACTCCTGTCCTCACTCACAGCATCCACTGAATACCTATTTGCAGAAGAATGTGATCAAGAGGTCATGCTACTTGAACTAATCTGATTGGCTGTCATCTCCAATCTGACCGACATAGCACCCCTGTTCCTTGTGGGTACGCTCAGTGGCATCGGCTGCCGTCCGTTGTCAGGCCAACAAGCAGCCTGGGAAGGTGGAAAAGGAGGGGGGTGGCCAATCTGAGACTGCCACTTTCCCTCAGCATTAGCATCTCACTTAATGACCAGTTAAGAGGCAGCCTGGCAAATGAGTTGTGACAAGTGCTGCAGAAAAAGGAGTCTTTTTCCCTCATATCTCCCGCCTCTCAATCACCATTTAAAGGGCTTGACGGGCTGACATAATTCCGCCATAATTATCACTTGGAGTATTCTTTTCGGGCCAGGACAGAAGTCAGATTGGATCTCATCATAGGGTAATAATGCTGACCAACAATAACTTTGTTGTCACTTCTCTCATCTGCGTGTCTCGCTTGATCCTCAGGGAATGGGCAGTTGGCTTCAGCCAGCCAGTTCAATCTGGTTCAAGTGAAGCAGGAGCCGATGGACGTGAACTCTGGGGCCTCCCAGGACTCCACACAGGAGCACAGCCTGGACCTGAGCAAGAAGGACCACAGGTACACAGCTGCATGGTACATAGAGGGTTAAGGCTATATACAACATGTTTATTCTTGTTATAAATTCACCTAATATATTCACAAAATAAATCAACAAGGAAATAAGGTTTCTCTGATTGATAGAAGATTTCTGCAGTCTTGGCAGCCAGGGTTATGTGCACAATTATTTATCAAAAATATCTCATTTATATACATGTGCATACAATTATAGAACCCTCACCATATTTCTCAATTTTCGTGTGAGAAGGATGTTTGTATAAAACGTCAACCCCAATCTTCCCTTCAAATAACAGTAGATCTTATTTCTTAAGAAGACAGCATTTTTCTTCTTCATTATATAGGCACACCTTGCGTGATAAATAGTCATATTTACTGTTCTCATGCAAATCTTGACTAAACATTGTTCATTTTCCTTGTTCCAGTAATGAATCAAACGGACACCCTGTACCGGGGAATACATCTCTTTTATCCTCGCTTATGAATAAGGTAAGATTCATCCATCAAACGCCTTTCATCCCAAGACAAATTAGCGGGACACGGAGGGGCCTGTTTGTTTTTTAATGTTTCACCGCTAATAAGATGAGTTTGTATCATTTAAATTTTCCAGCCATTTTTCATACAGTGTAATTTTCACTGCACCTCTCACAAATTAATATAATGAAGCAGTAGCTGGGTGCCATGCCAGATATATAGAGATGTTTGTTTTTTGATGAGCTGTTATGAACTCACCATCCATTTTCTTCCTGCTTTATACTTTTCCCCCCCGCTTCGCTCTACAGTTATTTATAGACTTTGTAAATTATTTGATTAAAAAGTCAGAGGAGAGGAAAAACAACAGGCAGGCGCTGCCCTCATTTTTTACCAAGTCTAAATGTTAGCGTATGGAAATGTAGATGTGCAATTTGTTTTGGCTGAAGATTTAAAATGGCCACTGTTTTACACATACATCTTCTCTGATTGATACAAAAGTGCCAGGTGGTTTCCATCACATTAATGATGTTATGCCTCCCTTTTCTTTTTACCCTTGACAAGTGGTCAAATCCTCAAAGTTGCTCTACTCAAAGCTGTCATTAATCCAGAGAGTAGAGGGGCTTCAAGGCCTGTTGTCCCACAGCTCCTTGTGTCATTTCAGCCTTTGGGGGTTAGATTCGAGCCAACACATCACATAAAAGGGTTAACAGTTCCTCCCAGGGGACGCTTGGCAAACACGCTTGGCTTGCACTCAAGCAAAAGCCTGGTTGTTTGTAAATCTGTATGTGCTTTTTTGCTTCGCCAAAACATTTGTGTGTTTTTAAACTCTCACACTCTCATTACCATATGCGAGTGCCCAGTTTACGTATGTTCAGCTAACCCAGCTGGTTGTTTATGTGCTATGTGTTTTGTAGATGTCACATGTGAACCCTGCACTGTTCAACGCCATGAACCTGAAGACGGAGCTGGAGGCAGGCCAGGGCAACCCCTCAGAGGCAGCCTACTATCTGAACAGAGTGCTGAAGCGACCCATGCCAGAGAAACCCTCTGAGATCTGGAGGACATACCTCCGCAGGTATGAAACAAGGAAGCAGTACAAGGAGTCACTTTAGTCTTTACTTTATAAGACTCATTCATTTTGGTAGTGAGACAACAGCTAAAAGTACCGTCAAGGCCTTTTCTGGAAATACCATTCCTCACATACTGCATCACTGGAAACCCCCTGAAACATAAAGAATCTGCTCGAGCAGGAATGTGAAACAACTTACAGAGTTATTGTTTTTAATGATCTTATCTCGAAACAGTTGTCTTCTTTGCGTTTTACGTCTATTTGAGACAGTATATTTACAGTCTTTACTATCTGTCTTTCTTTAGGTTTGATACAGACGACTACTGTGAGTCTCAGTGTGACTTCCTTCAGAAAGTTCACTTCCACTGCTTGGTAGAGGACTGTTGTGCACTCTTCAGCACTGTGGATGGGGCCATTAAACATGCTACGTGAGTGTCAAAGTGTTTAATAATCCGAAAATAATTCCCCTTCCACATTAGAGGTTATTGCTTTATTGAACAACATATAAACAGGTTTCCATCTTGTTCTTTTAGCTTCCACCTCCGGGCGCATTTGAAGGTGAAGTCTGAACCTCAGTACGGAGAGGGCAGGGACTCCAGTGAGGGCGCCTCGCTGCCTTCGGCCCCCGTCTCTACAGCCAACAACCCCTCCATGGATGTGGCCCACCTCACCTCCTCTGGTGGGTACAGCTCCCCTCCCCCCTCCCTGCTGGCCTGGAAGCAGCTGACCGGCAGCATCCCTCAGATGTCGGCCTCCATGCCCAACCTGCCAGTCAACTCCCCCCTGGCCACCACCTCTCTGGAGAACGCTAAACCTCAAGTCAAACCTGGTTTCCTGCAGTTCCAGGAAAAGTATGAAAAACATTGAATGTCCTCTTACCTTATTGTGCATACCTTTTGTTTATTCCACTATTTGTTAATTGAATAGCATTTCTCTTTTTAATTCCTCCAGTGATCCCTGTTTGGCTACTGACTGTAAGTACTCTAACAAGTTCCACTTCCACTGCTTGTTCGGGAATTGCAAGTATGTGTGCAAGACGTCCGGCAAGGCCGAGTCCCACTGTTTGGACCACATCAACCCCAACAACCACCTGATCAACGTCCGAGACCAGTTTGCCTACTACTCGCTGCAGTGTCTCTGTCCCAACCAGGTGAGTGCGGCTCGGTATCTCAGCCAGGAGCTGAATCACCTACTGTCATCTCCCACAGTTTTCTAAGCATGAAGTATGCTATCTATTAGACCAGTATTTGAGGTTATTTGACTCAAGGCTTTCACAACCGCCGCTCCCTGTCTTCCATCTCTGCTGAAAAAGACAGTCGACTCACCCCAGTAATGCCTGTTTATATGTCAATGATGTCATTTTGACTGCCGCATTCTCCTCTCAGAAAAGGCCAATTTAGCTGATATTACCCAATAAATCATTGTCACTTGCACAGTAAACAAGGCTGTCTGGAATAGGGCAAAAATCAGGGGAATGCTTCGCAAATGAAACCTAAATGGCAGCCCCTGCCTGCTCTCATGAGCCCGTATTTGGAAAAGCGTTTAAATGAATTCATTAATGTGTCGAAAATCACCCCTCTCACAAAAAGTCCCCCCCCCGTTCCTCCTCCTCCTCCTCCTCCTCTTCTCCTCCCCTCCTCCCCTTAGTCTCCATCTCCTGAACTGAGCAGATCTTATTTGGCCCGGTCCCTCTGGGATGTGGGCCTCACTAACAGATGGTGGTGTACAGACATGTTCCAGGGGAGGGGTGTTTGAGGGAAGCCTGGAGAGAAAAAAAAAAAGAAAGAAAGTCATCGTGCTTAGAAATGTGGGATGTTCCAAATGACCAGAATAAGAAAAGGTTGTGAAGGGTTCATTATGTTTTTGAAAAAAATGTGTATTGTGTTCACTTTAAATGTGCACACAAAGAAAGATGAAATCATTTGAATCAACTCCTTTGTATTTTACATGGCCACATTTGACTTATGGAAATGTTTGTTCTGCAGCACTGCGAGTTCAGAATGAGGGGCCACTACCACTGTCTGCGGACCGGCTGCTTCTTTGTCACCAACATCACCACCAAGCTGCCGTGGCACGTCAAGAAGCACGAGAAGGCCGAGCGCCGCGCCGCCAACGGCTTCAAATACTTCACCAAGAGGGAGGAGTGTGGGAGGCTGGGTAAGAAAAATAACTCCTGACATAAGTGTGATACACGTTTGGCCGGCTGACTCTTTTTGTCCTTGCCATGTCAGCCTTAACACACATTTGTAATCATTTTCTACCATGATTAAAGGTATTAAATTGAGGAAGATGTAGATTGATTTTCATTGGCTGTGCAGGGAGATGTTCTCTGTTTACAAAGGGAGAGGGACTGGTGTTGGCAAACAGTGTCGTGCTGTGAGTTGTTTAAGAGGCATGAAACAAGTCCGCCTCATAGGTTTTGTTGCTCTGTTTTGCATATTCACAATGGCACCTCAAGTCCCAAAGGTAGGCTTGCCTGTACTATATGAGCAATAACGTCAAAGGGGGCAATCACATCCAGGTTGTTTTCTTCTTCCTTTTGCCCCTGTCAGAAATGAGCAATTAGGTTTGTGTTTGTTAATTATCCGGCTTGTCTGGTTTAGCCTGTTTGTGTTCTGAAGCTGCGCCTCACAGCCACCGCTGCCATCACAATGAAATGAATTAAAAGTGATCTGTTTTTTTCAGGCGGTTACACAAGCTTTTCAGAACGCAGAGAAACAAAGCAAACAAAAACAGGCCCTAAACAGCTGTTTTTTGTCCCCAGCCTGATCTGCCAACTGTATTGTTTGGGCTGGGGGGGAAAAAACAGAAAGGATTACCATCGCTAGCACTCCAGTCATAAAGAATTGATGGGCTGCCAGTATCCATGGCAGCGACATTAAACTGAACACAGCTGATGATGTTACCTGGTTTCTGTCTCACAAAAGGCCCTCCGTGTCACGGGGTTACTGTTATTTGCTCAACTTTGCGTGTTTAAAACATTGTGTGTGCAAAAGCTATTTGATGACACAGACGTGTTGTCCTCCTAAACTGGGTGCCATGGTTACTGACATGCTAGCACCTGCCCAGCATGTTACTCTTTCAATTATTTCTGCCTGCTTTTATATAATGGTATTTGATTAACAGGCAGAAAACAGAGCATTCATTTAATTTGAAATCATAAAGCAATTAGAGCCAGAGCGGTTAAAACACTAGAAAAGAACAGAAGAATATGAAGCAGACAGCAGACACAATGGAGAACAAAAGGAAAAGTGACAATGGAGATACTTTGAAAAATGAATTTAATATGGTAATAATTGTATATTTACTTGGGTTTGCAGGGGTGTGTGCATTATTGGCCCACAGAAAATGAGAATTTATTTATGTAAATTCCTAATTGAATAAAGCATGTCAGTGTAATAAAAGAGCTCCACAGGTTTAGTGCACAGAAGCCTTGACTTGCTCAGTGTGACACCGGAGTGATCTAATATTCCTCCTACATGTACACTCCCAAACACTGAAAGCAATCCCTCTTTTGTCGGAGCTATATCATGAAATTAAAAAAAACTAAAAATATTTCACTTTGTGTTTGATCTAATCATAACACCACCACCCTGATAATATTGCGTTTCAGCGCAGTAGCTGTTCTCAGCCGTGTCACAATGAGCAGAAGATCAATTCATCTGCGGGAGGAGAGTTTTAAAACTGTTACTGGTTTCTCTTTGCAGGTTGTAAGTATAACCAAGTTAACAGCCACTTCCACTGCATCCGCGATGGCTGCCAGTTCTCCTTCCTGCTCAAGCACCAGATGACCTCACACGCACGCAAACACATGAGGCGGATGCTGGGGAAGAACTTCGACAGAACCCCTTCACAGGTACAAACGTACAAACTGTCACATATGACACATGCCAACGGTAACGGGTAATTATCTAAATACACGGGTTGAACGCCTCAATGAATTTAAACAGTTGTTGAGCAGTTTATTGTACCACATGTCAACAAAGACAAGTACTGCACACACCCTTATACTGACAGATTAATGCTGCATTTTCTTGCCTTGCAGATGTTAACATTTTGTGTCCCAATATCATGGATTGTATTGTTGCACAAAAATGTGTAGATGTTGTTAAAGGAAGCTACATTTAAATGTGATGTTCCAACAAACACAAACAGTTATTGTGGTTTCTATGAGACGTTCTTCCAACAACTACCGCAAACCTGGTTGTAAAATAGAAATGGAAATGAGCTACTAAAGAGACATTTTTATATTGGTTTGAGACATTTTTATTTTTTTATTTCACCTCTTAAACATTTTCTTATTTTGATTGGCATCCGAAGTAACCATGACTTGTACGTATTTCAGTTGGTTTTGTGTTGTGTAACAACCTTACCGTGCTCCCTGCTTTATGAGTCATATTCTGGTAAAGAGTAACAAGTTCATTTGGTGTCAAAAAAGGAGCTCACATCCTGTCCCCTTCAGTGACAAATCACTCAAGACTTCGTTCTGAAGGTGGATACAAACATGTGGATTTTCTAGTTTGGTTTGTTCTTTTTTATGTTTGGAAGTCTTCATATAATGACAGAAATGTGACGTTCATTCTTTCCGAGGAGTTTCCACTTCTTGAGAAATGCTTGGTTGTTTGCCAAGAGCCAACACCTGCATTAATGACACGTTATAGGTGGAAATGTTTGTTCTTTTACAATAAAGCTTGTTTGTTTTTCAGGTGATGCCACTCAGTCAGAGGGCAGATGGATCCGGCATGATGGGAACTCATCCTGGTATGAACTCCAGCTTCTCCTCCGGCCTCATGGATGAGACTGATGATTACATGGACTACATGGGAGGTGGGGGCAGCCCACTCGGCCTCTCCTCAGAGTCCTCCAACCAGGACCGGAGCGGCACCAGCACACCTGTAGGCAACGACAGCTCTCCAGCAGGTGAGAATATGTCAAAAGAATTCCAGTAGAGCTTGAATAAAGTTTAGTTTAAGAGAATACAACTCTTCCATTCAGCCTCATGCTTCACTCAGTCCAAATCCATCTACTTTACCCTAAAAACAGCCACATTTCATTCTTCGCTTATTAAGTGATTCAGTAGTTTCACTTGACAATCAATACCATAACGGCACATCCGTCATATTAAATGAGGTTGATGACAATGCCGTTTTCTTATGTTCTGAGTCGTGGACAAGGTCTTTTGCAGTTTGCCTGGTCATCCTCATAAAACATCCATTTTGTCCATCAATGTTTTGAGTTATTGCACTGTACGTAGCTTATTACATTTCCCTTTGGCCAGAGATCATCCCTGTGGCTTTATGTCTACTTTAGCGCTTTTAGTACTTCTAATTGTGCGGGGAAAGGGAAGCAAAGGAGAAATGGCCTCCTTTCACCTTAAAACTTACTGGATAAATTGATTCTTCTCTGCTTTTCTTTTCTAAATCTGAGCCTGCCTGTAATTTTCACATTTCTCCATGTGTTGCCAATATTATCCACTGTTTTTATCATTGTTCTTTTGGCTGGTGTTTGGGGGTTACTTGTCTTGAATGGGCCTCATTTTGTATCATTCTCTTATCTTTTATCTTTCCCTTTTTGCCTCCCATCCCTCTGGTCGTGTGTGTGTGTGTTTGTGTGTGTGTGTGTGTGTGTGTGTGTGTGTGTGTGTGTGTGTGTGTGTGTGTGTGTGTGTGTGATCCCTTGTTCTGTGTGTTTCTTCCCCTCCTGTCTGTCCTTCACCCTCTCTGGTGGTCCTGTCTCTCCAGGACAAGGCTGGCCCTCCACCACTTCTGCTCCCACCACCCCTGCTGACACTAGAGCTACCCACTACGCACCACCTTCCTCCCCTCCTTATCCTCCTCCTCTTCCTCCTCACTCCTCTGCCCCTCCGCCTGGCTTCCAGTCCCAGGTCCCGTCCCTCTCCCCCGCTCTCCTCCGACCATCCATCTCTCCTCACTCCCATACCCTCCTCTCTCCATCCTGTCTGTCATACTCTCTGCTCAGCGCCTCTCTGGGAGCCACTCGGAGTGTTGTCATGCCAACCAACACACCAGCTTTCCAGCCCCATCATTGCCAACTCCCGTCTCCGGTTAAAAATGACGTCCCTATAGTGCAGGATGCTGCAGGTACTTATCCCCGGCTCAAACCAACACTGCAGCTGTCACTCTTAATTGAGTCCTGTGCCGTATTTAACTGTGTGATTCTCTGCAGTACTGTTGGGAAAAGACGGGGGGGAAAGGGGAATTCCCAGCATGCAAAAAAGAAAACATATAGAAATGTGCATGCTTACTGAGTGTGTACAGCAACAGAACAAATGTGTTTAATTACCTCACCTACACCTGGCGTGTGTTTTAACTTTCAGTATTACTAGATTTAGAGAGTAGTACATTTGGCACCTGTAGTAAGAAGCCTTGTTTAGCCTCCTTTAACAAGACTTCATCAGCAGCCTCTTACTTTAATCACGCCTCAAGTTTTATCGAGGCCCACTGCTTCCTGTCTCGCAGAACAGGGATCAGATCATTAGCAGAGACCCCAGGGTGTAGCATAAGGTGGGTGCCCCTAATAAAACAACATGGAGATAAGAGGGTCGGTTAAGACCCACAACTCCGCCTCTGTTTGGAGGCTGGAGACACCCTGTAAAAGTGTCATGTTCCAAAGTCAATCTATCATTTCCCGCCTCCTTTAATCATCCTGGGAATTAGGAATAAAAAACTCTGTGGCTCTCTGTGCTTACTCAGCTGTGAACCACTCTGAGTGAAGCCACACATTTCAACCAGAACGATCTCGGGATGTCATTTGTTTGTAAGCCAAGTGATTTTTGTTCAACCTGTCCTCTTCCTTCTTTCAGGCAACACCATCTCCATTCCTACGGCCGCCGGTGCAAAGAAGCGCTTCTGGATCATCGAGGACATGTCTCCATACGGCAAGCGCCGCAAGACCGCCTCCTCCCGTAAGATGCTGGATGAGGGGATGATGCTGGAGGGCTTCAGGCGCTACGACCTCTACGAGAACTGCAAGGACCCGGGCTGCCAGTTCTCCCTGAAGGTGACCCACTACCACTGCACCCGCGAGAACTGTGGCTACAAGTTCTGCGGACGCACCCACATGTACAAGCACGCGCAGCACCACGACCGCGTGGACAACCTGGTGCTGGACGACTTCAAGCGCTTCAAGTCCGCGCTCAGCTGCAACTTCCCTGACTGCCAGTTTTCCGGCAACAGCACCCACTTCCACTGCCTGCGCTGCGGCTTCCGCTGCACCGACAGCACCAAGGTGACGGCCCACCGCAAGCACCACGGCAAGCAGGATGTGATCACCGCCGCGGGCTTCTGCCAGTTCAGCTCCAGCGTGGACTGCGAGGTTCCCGACTGCAAATATAAGCTCAAGTGCTCGCACTTCCACTGCACCTTCCCTGAGTGTAAGCACACGGTGGTGGGCATGTCCCAGATGGACTCCCACAAGAGGAAGCACGAGAAGCAGGAGCGCGGCGACCTGCCCTCGGTGTCGCCCAAACAGGAAGTGCTGCACCACCTGGGAGGAAGTCTGTCGGCCCCTCCCACCTCCATGAATCTCTCCACCTCCTCACCGAGCGACTTCCACGCCCTGTCCCGCAGCATCAACAGCAGCGCGCCCTCCATGCTGTACCCCACAGGCGGCCTGGGGTCCGAGTACAGCCACATGTACGCGCCGTCCTCCCTCAGCCTGGACGGCTCCCTCAACCTGAGCACGGACCCCAGCAGCTGCCTCTTCTTCCTGAAGAACGCGGCCGGGCTGGGCCTCAGCGACTCCCTGGACCTCAGCACCAGAATGCACCACAACGCAGCGCGGTCCAACCAGGCGCCGCCGCCGCCGGGGGGGCCGCCTCAGGACGACACCACGGGAACATCTGGAGAGGCCGAGGACGACCTGTCGCCAGAGGAGGAGGCGCGTCCGGGGGAGGAGGAGGAGGAGGAGGAGGATGAGGAGGAGGAGGAAGAGGAGGAGGCCGAGCTTAACACTGACTCTAATGATGACTCCATGGCGGAGGCTGAGGGTGAAAAGGACAATGGCCAGAGTTCCGATGCTTCCGTTAACCACACTGATGCTTCCCGAGTGGGAAAGCAAGATGTCGACCCGTGAGAGAAGAGACTAGCAGTGACTGTGTGCTATGAACAAACTAAATGAAAGTGGCCTCATTTATCATATTTAGAGACTTCAGATGACAACAAAAAACAACAACAGCGTGGAGAAGAATGACGGCCCAAAATGATTTATTATGATGTTTACAAGATGACCAACATTATTAATTCAATTATGCATTAAAAAAATATGAACGGAGACACACAGAACTAGGCCCTGGTTTACACGCGGGGCAGCAATGTAAAGCATTTTACTACACATCAGTCTTTTTGTGTGCGTGCATGTTTGACTTTAATTTATTTTAATTTGTTCACTTTTTTGTGTGTGGTTAAAAGAAAAACTGTTAGAAAAACAAAAACAAATCTCTCTATATAACTATATATGTGTGTGTGTGTGAACGATGATATACAAAAGGAAATTGCTGGCACAGGCGACTGCAGGGCCGAGGAGACAGACAAAGGGACGTGAATCACTAAGGGGAAGCAGGATGCGTTCAAACATTTGATCTTTCTTTCTGTATTAATATTATTATTAATTATTCTGAGACACTGAGAGAACGGGGAGTCGCTCTTCGCTCGTCCCCGTCTCTCTCGGATGTTGTCCGTGTTCTCGATGACCTGTGGAATTGACCAGTAAATATTTGGTCAGTGGGGCGGTCTCAACAGTTCTCTGACATTCTGCTAGCAGCGTTCCACTAGCACCCAACCCAAGCTCAGCCCTTTGTAATTTTACCCCCCTGCGGAGGAATCAAGTTTGTGTGTGGATAGTGCACTTTTATATTAGCTGATTACGATGATAACTCATAAGCATATTTAAAAATATTTTTGTTACCATTTGCATCTTTGCATTACAATGTCGTTTTGTTGTGTTGTTAGTCAGAAGCATATCGATCTGTGAGCAGGCGAGGTCGTGATTAACGGCAGGAGAGCCAGGATGTGTGGGGGGGGGGGGGGGGGGGGGGGGTCGGACTGACCACAGGAAAAGATGAGTCACTCAGATGCAGAGCGAGGGGAGTGTGTTTTATGTTGAAATTTGACAGACCGAAAATGTCTCAGCGGCATTGTTTCCATTCACTTCGGCTGCGGTTGAGCTCCTGTTGTAACGGTTTTTATTTAATATTTATGTGACCTTCCAATGAGAAATTTTAGGGTGTTAATGCACTTTTTAGGTTCATTTTTACCGTCTGAAAAAAAATGATATATATCTTTTAACAGGGAATTTTGCTTTAAAGATGTTGTTTTAGTTCACTTTTGCTTTAATGCACAAATAGATGTTAGTGTGACAAAGAACTGTTGTTCTGTGATTTATTTAAAGACTGGCTTTTTCTTTTTTCTTTTTTTTTGCTTCTGTGATCCGACAGTTTGAAAAAAAAAAAAAAAGGAAATGGGTGCATCAGAAAGAAGGTGCCCTGACGAGAAACACTAATACGGACTGTGATTTGAAATGAACTCTTAAGACGTTCATGGCGATGCTCACTTACTGTAGAACTAAATTATAAATATGTCAAAGCCATCCTCTGGTTTATATTGAGCGAATATGTTCGACCAAGAAGTGGACACACTGATTAAGAATGATCTGCTGAGCTTGGCATTGGAAAGAAACCTTCATAATATAGGGAATAAATATGTGTGTAGATGATGTTCCTCCAGATATTGTTTTGAGAAGAAAAAAAAAGGTTGTACAGTATTTTCCTCTGTAAAAAATAACTATATATGAACAAAATGCTCTTTGATGAACAGCTTCCTTTCAAAAGAAAACCGTTAAGAGGAGAAATGAATAATAAAAAGTAAAAAAATTCAAATAGCCTCATCATAGTTTGCTTGTGTGCGTGACCTTTTTTAATTACCCCAGACTTTTTGGGGGAAAGTTGTGCATACTGTAGCATTGGCAGATTCCGTTATGTTTGCAGTATTCATTGTTTTCTTTTTCCAAACTATGTCAGAAGCTCAAACTAAAATACACTGATTTGAATTAATTCATCGATGTTTCTGTTTTATTTATCAAACACTTTTTAGTCACCGTCATTTTTCCATGTGTGCGCTTTTGTTCTTCCTCATGAATTGAAATCCTTGGTTTATATTGACTTTGCTGTGGGCCTCGTTCTCAGACTGATTGTCTCCGGGGATCCAGAGCGGAGCGGAGGCGTCGCCACGTTGTTTTAGTTTCTCATCAGATAACTGTAGGGGCTGGGAGACATCGTGCACTTGAATTCAGTTTGTGTGTGTGTGTGTGTGTGTGTGTGTGTGTGTGTGTGTGTGTGAGGGTGTAAAATAGCAGGATTTGTAAAAAGTTGAAAATAAAGAAACTATAATTATATAACAATACACATGTAGTGATTGATAGTGCTTCAGCCTGAGGACATTTTGTGTGGACGACAGCAGGGCAAAGGTCACAGCAGCGATCTGTTTCTCTATCTGTCAGTGACACTCCTGAAGTGTGTGTGTGTGTGTGTGTGTGTGTGTGTGTGTGTGTGTGTGTGTGTGTGTGTGTGTGTGTGTGTGTGTGTGTGTGTGTGTGTGTGTGTGTGTGTGTGTGTGTGTGTGTGTGTGTGTGTGTGTGTGTGTGTGTGTGTGTGTGTGTGTGTGTGTGTGTGTGTGTGTGTGTGTGTGTGTGTCTCCCCCTGAGAGAGACAGATAGGCCGCGGCTGTAAGAACACAGACCTGTGGCTCCGTCCCAGCTGCTCAGAGCCTCATATTTCATGACCTTGTGCGCCTTTCCCCCGCTTTGTTCAACTTTCAATCCACCTGGGACACTTTCTGCCACAGAATTTGAAGAAAAACAAATGAAAACAAACATCTGCATCCATGCAGGTAGAGGAATCAACAATATTTGTTGTTGTGGTCGCCCGTTGTTCACGCTTGACATTCTGGTGCGGGAACAAGATCAGAGCCTCGGACCATTAGGGAGAGTTAGAGTCCTGCTACTGCTAACAAGATGGCTCTCTGTGTCTTGTTCACCGTTAACAGGGCACATTTATTTGAGTTCTTTTTTTTTCTTTGCTTTGAGCCATGTGCTGGGTTCTCCTCCCACTCCTCATGTCACCCAGCGGCCAGTGTGCCGGCTCTCTGTCCCTTCGTCTACAGCTGTTCCTGTCCTTCCTCCTTCACTTCCTTGTGATGTTTTTTTTTAATAAAAAAAAGAGAAAAAAATGTGGGTAAAGGCATCACCATCTGTCAGCCAGCTGGCATCCTGTATATAATCTACTAGAAGAAAAAAAAAGAATAAACATGAAAATTATATTACACAAAAACCAGACGGAAACGACCTCCAAATCCTGCATAGGCTGCTGCCGAAACGACAGATCATTTTACTGTTTTAATTAACGGAGTAAAAAGGATGGTATAAAAAAGTGGGGGGGAAATAAACTGAGATGTATTTCCACTGCTGCGAAAAATGTAATATGAAAGCCTCCTGCTTACTGCAGCGTACTGGGTAAACAGCAACATTTTAGACTTTGTAAAATATATTGCACTTTTGGACTAAAAGCCATCTCCCGTTTGCGTTCAATTTGGCTAGACTCATGAGACATTTTATATGAAAAGCAGACAATGAAGCAATTTTTTTAAAAGTCTCTACTTGAATTTGTTGCCCTCAGCACTACTATTCATTCTTGTCGTATTGCTTATTTACACTTGGATAACAGTGCTGTTCATCTTCATTGTGCTATATTTATGTTTTTCTTCTGTTTCTGCATGTCTTATGCAAAGATTGAGCTTTTTATTCAGTGAAATAAAAACATACTGAACGATTGTAGGCCTGTTTTCACTGTTCATGTCTTGTTGAATGTCAAAGAAGAGTATGACAAATCTTTCAACTGATGCATACCTTTTCACAAAACACAACACCAGGTCGTGTATATTACGCGTGCCAACAATTTGTGCTGTGTGCCGGCCATCGCTGACACGCAGTGGGTTGATGTGCCAGGAACAGGTTGAGTGAGAGAGAGAGAGGCGACAGTCGGGGCTGGGAACATACACGACAGGTGTGCACTGCATATGTGGTCACATGACGCCTATAAGGCAGATTAGGGCCCAAACAGATGAAGCGCTGCTTAATGGCAGCTTTTATTAAGTTCACAAAGCGTGGAGGAGGGGGGGGGCAGAGGAAAAGCAGGTGGCTGGGCCCGGGCACTCTGAGATGAAGACAGATATTGTACAGTGGAGTCAGTGGAGTGGCCACTGTGGAAGGATTTATGAAGATTTGTCCGCTCTGGACTCACCGAGTCCTGCGTAATACAGCCAGAGAGGGAGAGCTGGAGAAGCTCAGAGAGAACAATGTGCCAGCCAAGAAGCCAGAGAGTGCTATCATATAAGATGAGATGAAACTATTATAATACCTGTGGGGAGAGTCTGTCACTGCTGCAACCAAATTAAAAGAACGCACAGAAATAATGACAAATGTAATATAATATGCTGGAACATGTTAGGTGTACATGAAAGTAAAAAAAACAGATTATAAAAGATCAGCTGATTGTCAGACATTTGACATGTATTATTAAATAAATGCACATTAAGAAAAACAATGCACTTCTAATGACGACAAACCAACTACCATATAACTATCAAACATATCAACCCGTGGTACTGGTTTTGAAGACATTAAGACTCTGTACTATTATAATATATATAAATAGTGAATATTTACCTACAAATATATAAAGAGAAAAATACATAATCATATACATTTTTCTTAACCTCAATGTGCTGAAAGGAAGGAAAAGGTGATATTGTGTGTAATCACTATCTCATGAGCATATTTGAGCGTAAAGGTGTCATATCAGCAGAAACTACAAATGGCTCAAGATCATTAAAGGGAGGCCGTGATGATCTGAGTCTGTGTGTACTGTGTGTACTGTCTGTACTGTGTGTGGTGTGTGTGTGTGTGTGTGTGTGTGGTGTGTGTGTGTGTGTGGTGTGTGTGTGTGTGTGTGTGTGTGTGTACTGTGTGTACTGTGTGTACTGTGTGTACTGTGTGTCCGGGCCTCAGACAGAGACACTTGAGTGAGATGTGATGTCAGTTTAGTCTCCATCTCTCTGCAGAGCTGCCTCCAGGCACACACCATTTAAACAGACAGACTGTTCACTGGTTGTTAATCTGCCATGTCCCTCATTCTGGGTCTTGCTTCCAGACTCTCGTGATTTTAGCTTTTTTTAATTTTGAAAGATAAATTGTTTCATTTTTTCAACAGAAACTATTTCACTCATATTTGGGTGGAGTCAAACTAGAATAACAGATATTCATTTATTGAAAAATAACATCATCAGGCATCAGAGAAGGGGTGTCAAGTGGGGGGGGCAATTGCCCCCTTCAAAATATCATAAAAAACTTCGTAGTATGTCGAAAAAAAGAAAAAAATACATAATATAGTATGCCAAAAAATATCATAAGAAACGACATAGTTTAGTATGTTGAAAAATAAAAAAAGGGACAACAATTTGTCGAAGATATCATAAAAAAGGACATAGTAAAAAAACATAGTCGAAAAAAGAAGAAAAAAAGGACATAGTAGAATGTAGAAAATATCATTATAGTATGATGAAAATATCATTATAGTATGATGAAAATATCATTATAGTATGATGAAAATATCATAAAAAAGACAGAGTATAGTATGTTAAAATTAATAAAAAGTCATAGTAAAGTATATTTGAAAAGCATATTCAATTAATATTATAGGATGTCATAAAGATGTCATAGTATAATGCCATACCTTTAAATAAAGTTATATCATATGTTTAAAAAAAGTCACGTTACTCTTTGTCAAAATAGTCAAAAGATTTTTAGTATATATGGCATAATATGTCACAAATTAAAATCAATATAAATAACAGAAACACATAATCACAATGTACTGAGTTATTAGAGAGCAGAGACAGTTTTTCAACTGCAAGGAATCAATTGGCCGTATTGTGGTATGGACACTCGCTACATCCTAGTTCTGGCAATCAAAAGTCCCAGGCTACTTCAACAACACAACATACAATTTACTTAACGCACAAATCAATTAGACATAAAATAGTGCAATAATCATCATGGTGCAAGTAGGTTTCAGGATTAATACAAATAAATACATATAAAATATAAAATAAAACATAATATACTATTAAATACTGTAAATCCCAAACATACTGTATACAGTTTAATGTATACATATATATGAATATGTGATATAAACATCTGAAGTAGCATTTGTCAGACGGCAGCAGACAGAACAGTTTGCTGCTGGGTAATGGAGGCTTCAGGGTAATGGAGGCTTCTGGGTGATGGAGGCTGCTGGGTAATAGAGGCTTCTGGGTAATGGAGGCTGCTGGGTTATGGAGGCTTCTGGGTAATGGAGGCTTCTGGGTAATGGAGGCTGCTGGGTAATGGAGGCTTCTGGGTGATGGAGGCTGCTGGGTAATGGAGGCTGCTGGGTTATGGAGGCTTCTGGGTAATGGAGGCTTCTGGGTAATGGAGGCTTCTGGGTGATGGAGGCTGCTGGGTAATGGAGGCTGCTGGGTTATGGAGGCTTCTGGGTAATGGAGGCTTCTGGGTAATGGAGGCTGCTGGGTAATGGAGGCTGCTGGGTAATGGAGGCCTTGATGATCTTGTGAGCCTTCTTTTCACACGGCTGGGTGGAGAAGTCCTCGATGGTTGGCAGTTCATCATAAGATACCATATAACCTTTTACATAAACAATAACGTTGTAATTTGAGTTGCAACTCAGATTTTATGAAAGCTTTTTGCTGTTAAACCAAAAGCTACACTGCTAAAGTCCATAGTTTGAGTTGAATGAACCAACATTTACAAGTTATTGTGCTATATATCAATTCACAGTGTGCTCAAACATAATTATCATCCACCATAAGCAATGCAGCTAAAGTAGTTGCATTAAAGCAATGCTAACGTTGTGTTTTAGATAACTGTTCATGTCCAATGGACTACATACTATACTGATGACCACTCTTTACAAACAAAATGTAAGATTAACATGAT